GACAGTGCGGCGCTCCCTTAACGCTGACCCTCTGACAGTGCGGCGCTTCCTTAATGCTGACCCTGTGACAGTGCGGCGCTCCCTTAATGCTGACTGTGTGACAGTGTGGCACTCCCTTACTGCTGACTCTGTGGCAGTGCAGCACTCCCTTAACGCTGATCCTCTGACAGTGCGGCACTCCCTTAATGCTGACCCTGTGACAGTGCAGCCCTCCCTTAATGCTGACCCTGTGGCAGTGCAGCGCTCCCTTAATGCTGACCCTCTGACAGTGCGGCACTCCCTTAATGCTGACTCTGTGACAGTGCAGCACTCCCTTAACGCTGACCCTGTGACAGCGCAGCACTCCCTTAATGCTGACCCTCTGACAGTGCAGCGCTCCCTTAATGCTGACTCTGTGACATTGCGGCACTCCCTTAAGGCTGACCCTGTGACAGTGCAGCCCTCCCTTAACGCTGACCCTGTGACAGTGCAGCGCTCCCTTAACGCTGACCCTGTGACAGCGCAGCCCTCCCTTAATGCTGACCCTGTGACAGCACAGCACTCCCTTAATGCTGACTCTGTGACAGCGCAGCGTTCCCTTAATGCCGACCCTGTGACAGCGCAGCGTTCCCTTAATGCCGACCCTGTGACAGTGCAGCGCTCCCTTAATGCTGACCCTGTGGCAGTGCAGCGCTCCCTTAATGCTGACCCTGTGACAGTGCAGCACTCCCTTAATGCTGACCCTCCGACAGTGTGACACTCCCTTAGTCCTGCCCTCACATGCACCTCAATCCAGATCCTCGTAGCTTGATGCTTGAACATTCAATATTGAGAGGTGAGACTGCAGTTAACAGGACCAATATTGACAGGGAATGTACATTTCTACACTGGAAACAGAACGAACCTTGGAATTAGTGATCAACTTTGGCTTTTCATGATGAGTGAGCCTGAAGCCAGTTGTTTTGAGATTTGATTATCATTCACCACTGCTGTAATGCAAGCTGAATCAGGCCTATTGTGTTGTAAATACCTCACAGCCTTTCGTTACTCGGCACATCTGCTCATTTCCAAAACACAAATGCAAATGTTTAAATATTGTCGGTCTCCATCCTGGCTCAGCCCAGCTGCTGTAAAAACTCCCATCTATGTTCATAGAACCTCCAAACATGACCCTTCTCAATGCTGCCCTGCCAGTGTCCAATCTTTCACTCTCTGTGAGCTTCAGCTCATCTAAACCTCCGCTGACTCTCAGCGAAACCTGTTCACCCATTGCTCCTGCGCTCGCTGCCCTATCCTTATTCCTGGTCCAGAATTGCGTCTATTTTTAACATCCTCTGCCTTGTTTTCAAGTCCTTTTGATAGGCTTAAACTGCAGTCCCCCTGCCCAACCCTGTTCCTCCCCATTCAAGTTTGCACAAGCCTCCAATACACCTGCGTTTCTTGAATGACGATATCTTGTGCAAACTTCACATCCCTGTCCCTGCTTGGCCATCCATGCCGTAATCTTCCTGGTCCTGAGCTCTGGAATGTCCTGCCTTCCTATTGGACGTGCTAATATCTCCTGGCACCGATTGGGCTTGATCCGGCTCCTGTGAGTCTGGAAGGGTTTTAATGGTGCCGACGGCACTATCTGAATTCACTGACGGTCAAGGCTGTTGTTGAATCCGCAGCAACGAGCGAAACAGCTTGCGGCGAGGAGACGGGACGCGCAGCAGCTCCTGGCCCGCGGGAGGGAGTTACAGGCAGCTGCCGAGCTCTCTATGTCCTCCAGGGAAGAACTGCAGAGCCAGGAGGCAGCCCTCCAGGCTATCGAGAGAGCAGCGGACAAAGAAGAGGGAGAACTGGAGGTAAAGACTGGTCCTGGGTCCTGGCAGGCTGGGCGGTGCGGGGAACGGGGAGATGGCCGGGAATCCCACGCATTTGCTGCCCTTTGTCCCTGGGGGTGTTGGGTTTGAGAGACCCAGGGGCGATACGCATTGCGGCCACAGTATGCCAGCAGGTGGAGGGAGTGGGGGTTGAAGTTGTCTTGGATAGCACGCAACGCTTTGAGAACCAGCCAGTCCATCCCATTCTGTCTCGAGCCTTGCAGATGGGACAGGGGTTTCGGCGAAATCGGGAGGGGAGTCACTTGTGGCGGATGTCGCAGCTTCTGAGCCGTCTCTGTAGTGAGGACGTCTCAGCCAACTGAGTTTCTGGTCCCTGGGTGATGCCCTGCTGAAGGATGCTGGGAGAATAGGCACTGAGTCTGCTGCTGATAGGCCCAGGGAGGACAGTAGACTTTGCCTGTTGACAGTCAGGCATGAGTGTCGCTTGCCGATGGCAGAACCGGGCGTGATGTGGTGGGATCCGACGGCAGGGAGTGAAGAGAGAGAGTTGACGTGTTGCTTTTACCTTGTGCTGAAGGAGACACTAAATCGATGGCAGCGTTTTGAAGAGGAGAAGGGGGAGCTGACAGAATTCCTGAACCGAGCTGGAATGGGCACAGATCACGGTCGCTTGTTTAGCAGCCTGGAGGGCCTCAGCTCAGAGCTCGAGCAAGCAAAGGTGGGAGCTTGCAGCCTGGCATCTTAGCGTCGTCCTTTATTAATTCTTTCGTGGGTTGTGAGTGCCATTGGCCGGGCCAGATTTGTCGACCTTGAACTGAGTGGCTTGCTTTACCATTTTTGAAGGGGTCACCCAGATTCCTGTGGGTTTGGAGTCACGTGTAGGCTGCAGTGGGTGAGGGTGACAGATTTCCTTCTCTAAAGGACAGTCGTGTTGTTGAGAAAGCACCCATTTTGTCAAAGCTTCAACTGAAGATGTCTTTCTTTTCAGAAATATTCAAGTCCTGTACTAGCGAACCACCGTAGAGGATACCAGTGAGTCAGAAAGGATCTTTTGTGAAAAAGCAATCGGTGACCCCATTGTGGTGGTCACCATTACTGTGCGTAGCTGCCAATTCCACCCTTTTATGAATTGAACTGTAAATTCCACCAGTTGGCGTGGTGCGATTTGACCATTTGGATTATTATCCAGTAGATGTTACTCCTGATCCACCATCTCCCCACCTAGTCTTAGTTACTGTAGAGCTATAGAAGTCGATTGGTACAGCTTAAGTAAATACACAAATATCTTCAAAATGATGTGCTTCAACTCCATTCCTTTTTACTGGCAATGAAAAATTGTGAGGATTTCTACGATACCTTGAAACTTTGTCCTTTGCACAATTCTGTTGAGCAGCGCGGTGGCTCAGCGGTTAGCACTGCTGCCTCGCAGCACCAGGGACCTGGATTCGATTCCAGCCTCCGGTGACTGTCTGTGTGGAGTTTGCACATTCTCCCCGTGTCTGCGTGCGTTTGCTCTGGTTTGCTCCCACAGCACCAAAGGTGTGTAGGTTAGGGTGTGCTAAATTGTCTAGGACTGTGTAGGTTAGGTGGATTAACCATGGGAAGTGCAGGGTTCCAGGGATAACTGTGGGTGGGATTGTGTTTGGATTGACAGTGCGGGCTGAAAGGGATTTGATAATTCTTTGAAGCTCTTGTGCAGTGTGTGCTGATTCCTAATGGCCCTTACATTGCTTGTGCACACAGGCCTCTTGCAGAGACAGTGAAGATAAGACAGCCCAGGCTGAGGGCCTCTTACAGACATTGGAAAACCTGAAAGTGGGTCCAAACAGCAAACAGTCCCTGCAGCAACAGTCCAGAACGCTGAGAGACAAGGCTGTAAATGTCCGAGCAAAGCTGCAAAGCGAGTATGTGATCATGCTTCTTATCATTAATTTTCATCAGATTGTTGCTTGAGTTATCCAGCTCAATCAATCCTCCACTCGAGAAGTCATCTTAGTTATTCAACCACCTATTGAACCTATTTGTATTTGTTCACATCATCTGTGCTCCACTCAGTCATCAGCTCCCTAATACATCCCAGATTCATGGCCCTAGTGTGTAAAAAGTGTAGTTTCTGTCATAAATCTCTTGGTTTTGTGATAAATGCCCTCCATTTATAGGGAAATTAATCTCAAGAGATTGCATTTGATCAAATGTGACAATGAGAATATATTACCAAAATCACAGGGTGCCTTAAATTTAGAATAATTAACTTTCTATTGTCCATTATAAGGATTAGCTTTTTAGCCCATTGACTTTTCTGAGTTCTGCCACATTAATTAATTGATGTCCATGATGGAAGCCTACAGTTTCATCTCACACTCACCCAGACACACTGACACGCATAGCGCGCGCGCACACACACACACATTAACTCCAAAAGCAAACTAATGTCTTTCAATGTTTTCTTTGTCTTGCTGTAAAACCCCATAGTATAAACATGCTTCTATTAACAGTCCAGGAGGCACATATGATTTAACATCACGTTTCTGGAAAGACTGACCTAGTTAATTATTTAATCTCCTCACAAAAATAGACTTACACCCATATGTCGCTAGGTTAAAATCTAAACTCAAAAAAAATGCTATTAATATATATAAATCACATACCTTTAGCACAACTGTAATGTAGGAAAACCTCATAAAACAAGACACAGAAGGAGACATTCCAACTGTGATGAAGGGTATATTTTAAGGAGCATTTTAAAGGAAAAGAGAGAGATGGAGACAGTTAGGGAATTCTAGAGCTCAGGCCCTAGATAGTGAAAAGGACACTTGCCAGGAACAGTGGTGTTCTCAGAAGGTTGTTGGGTTGTAGCTCATTGCTGCGATAAGGAGGGACCATGAAGGGAAATTAACACTGGAGTGAAAATTGTAAAATCAATGTAGTCAGGAGCTGAGAGCCAGTGTGACGATTATCCGATATCTATCCCTGTAATAACTAACCTGGGGATTTGACATTGTGCCCATTGTCAAACTCACTTTCACACATTTCCACACCTCTCCTTCTTCAGTCATCCCTCTGTGCAACTACTGATCATTGAGGTGAGGTGAGATCTGAAGAACTGAGAAGCTTGTTTATTTTACGTGATCGATTCTGATTTCACTGACATCTTCCTTCTTTACTGCAGTGTGAAACATCTGGAAGAGATCAAGGCTCTGTGGGTGAGCTTATTAGCAAGGTTTGAGCCTTTGGGCCACTGGATGGTTGAGAAACAGAAAGAGCTGAAAGATGTAGAGGAATTGTCGATCCCACTGGAGGAAAAGCTTTCCAAAGTTAAGGTGCGTTGGTTACTTGGAGCAACATTCCCTTTCAGCTTTGAACCCTGAACAGGAGAAGTAGCAAAGTACAGTTTCTGTTCCAAGGGGATAGACAACCAACTAATGTTTGCTGTTGACTCGCAGCTTCTTGTTGATACCGTGGTGTCAAAGTCAAAAGAGGTTAAGAGCTTGGAAGAGGAGTCCCAGAACCTGGCCCAGTTTGTCACCTCTGGTGAGATTGCTCGTGTCAAGGTGCGATTGACCCAAATATCCAGGCAGTGGGAAGATCTCCATCAACGCACTCAGGAGGTGGGCAGTGAAGTGCAGAACCGAGTCTCCCTGCAACAAAAGCATGAAGAGGGCCTCAAAAAGGTACTGTGCTCTAAGGTCGCTCAGTCAGCTTGTGATTTCGAGCTATGAGTGAGGCTTTGTGTGTTGTTGCTGGATGTTGAGCATCTTTAGCTTCGGAGGGGACAATACCCTGGGGTGACATGGTGGCTCAGTGGTTAGCACTACTGCCTCACAGCACCAAGGACCTGGGTTCACTTCCCCTGTCTGTGTGGAGTTTGCACATTCTCTCTGTGTCTGTGTGGGCTTCCTCTGGGTGCACTGGTTTCCTCCCACAGTCCAAAGATGTGCAGGTTACATGGCTTTGCCATGCTAAATTGTCTGTAGTGTGCAGACTAGGTTTTGATTTGATTTATTTTATTGTCACGTGTACTCAAGTACAAAAGTACAGGAGTACAATGAAAAGTGTATAATGTTGCCACACAAGGCACCACCTTAGGTACAAGTAGCTGGTACAGCATGTTAAGAACAAGGTAGAAAGAAAGGACACAGTTAAAAGGAAGATTAGCCATGGGAAATGCAGGGTTACAGGGATAGGGTAGGGGGTTGTCCTGGGTGGGATACTCTTCAGAGGGTCGGTGTGGACTCGATGGGCCAAATGGCCTGCATCCACGCTGTAGGGATTCTATGATTCTAATACCCCTAACTTTTCTATAAAGTTAGAAAAGGAAACTGATATTTCCTTCTTAAAAATGTATTTATTGTTAATTGGCTGATACCAGGTATGGAGGGACTGTCTCATGAGGAGAGGTTGAGTAGTTTGGGCCTGTACTCATTAGAATATAGAAGAATGAGTGGCGACGTTACTGAAAGTGCTTAAGTGATCTGACAGGGTAGATGCTGAGAAGTTGTTTCCCCTGGTGGGAGACCCCTGCACCAGACAGCATCATCTCAGAGTGAGGAATCACTCATTTAAGGCAGCCAAGGGGAGGAATTTCTTCTCTTCGAGGGTAGTGAATTTGTAAAATTCTACACCACAGAGGACTGTCAAAGCTGTATTCAAGGCTGAGATTGACAGGTTTTTAATCAGTAAGGGAATCAAAGGTTATGGGGAGAAGGCGGTAAAGTAGAGATGAGGGGGGGTGATGGCCTATTGGTATTATTGCTGGACTGCTAATCCAAAGATCCTGGGTTCAAATCCCACCATGACAGAAAGTGGAATTTGAATTCATTAAATATCTGGAATTAAAATTCCCATGGTGTTTGTGAATCCATTGCTGATTGTCAGCAGGGTGAAAAGCCCATCTGGTACACTAATGCCCCTTAGGGAAGGAAACTGCCATCCTTACTTGGTGACTTCAGATCCACAGCAATGTGGTTGACATTTAATTGCCCTCTGGGCAATTAGGGATGGGTAATAAATGCTGGCCTAGCCAACAATGCCCTCATCCTGTGAATGAATTAAAAAAGAAACCAGATCAGCCATGATCTTGTTGAATGGTGGAGCAGAGTTGATGGGCTGAATGGCCTACCTCTGCTCCTACACCTTACAGTTACTGATTATGCATTCTGCATGTGCACAGTTGAGGTGTAGATGTGAAACTGTACGGAAAGGTGAGGTTGTATAAAAAATCTTTGTCTTTTGTAAATCAATCCTTAAAATCTTGCTTTATTCAATCAAAAAGGGCAAGCGATTTTATATTTGTTTCCTTTGTCTTTTCACCCCTTCTCAGGTCCAGCAAACACTGGCAGAGGTGGAGGCCACATTGATGGAGAAAACCAACAAATGCTCCTCAGCAGAAGAGGCTAACCGGCTGTTACAGGCACACCAGGTATGGAGGGCTATGATTGGCTTGGCTCACCCAGAGCCAGGGATTAGGCTGTTGTGGGGAATGGCCAGGACACAAAAGTGAGAGATACAAGTCTTTGTAATTTGGAAAGATGCTTGCAAGAGGTCACCCAAAGTTTTACGTAGAATCCCTACAATATGGTAGCAGGCAATTTTGCCTATCCAGTCCCTGACCCTCTGAAGAACATCCCACCCAATGTCACCCTATTCCTGTATTTCCCATGGCTGATCCACTAAGCCTGCATAACCCTGGACACTATGGTCAATTTAAGCAAGGCCAATCTGCCAAACATGTGTATAGAAGGTCATAGAATTCCTACAGTGTGGAAGCAGGCCATTCAGCCCATCAAGTCCACACCAATCCTCTGAAGAGCAACCCTCCCACACTGACCACCCTACATTACCCCTGTATTTCCCATGGCTAATCCATCTAGCCTGCACCTCCCTGGACTCTATGGTCAATTTAACATGGTCAGTCTATCTAACCTGTGCATCTTTGGACTGTGGGAGGAAACCCTCACAGACACGGGGAGAACATGCAAACTCCACACAGACGGTCACCCAAGGGTGGGATTGAACCCAGGTTCCTCGTGCTGTGAGGTAGCAGTACTAACCACTGAGCCACCATGCTTCCCCAAACATCAATAGATATAATTCACTGGTAGAGAGATAATGAGTTTCATTATTGACTTACAGGGATGGGGCATCACTGGCTAGATCAGCATTTATTACCCATCCCCTAATTGCCCTGGAGAATGTGGTGGGTGAGGTACCCTCTTAAACTGCTGCAAATGTCTGCATATTAAGTGAAAGAGCTGCTCTTTATTGTCCATATCATTTGGGATGTGTTTTTTTATAACAGAAACCAAAAACATTAAACATTAATTATATTTTTGCATTTGTACTTCTCTTTAGGGAATATCTCTAATCCAGCTGAGTGTATGCAGCCAAATCCTTTGATACTGTATTTTTAAGATGCGGCATTTTTATTCAGATTCTCCTTCCGCACTTGAATAATTTAGCAGACCTGCCAGAGGTTGCTGCCCATTTAAAACCCACTTTTGCACATTAATAAAAGATGTGGCTGTTGCATTACAAAATATAGAGGTCTGTTCTGGCTCTTTTCCTGTCGACTAATTTTCACTTTGGCTCTATCTGTGTTTGACCTGCACCTGCACTTTACTGTACCTTGGCTGATGGAGTTGGGGGAATTTTAAATTTCAGCGCTGATCTAATATGGGTAAAGAGCTGAATTTTCAATTATTTTGATCTCAACATGTGCCTTACCTTCTTTCAAATCCTTCCACTTGTAAAGATTCCCTCTGATTTCATATTTCATCATATTTCTGCTATTCCATCACACAAAAGTAATTGTGATCTAAATTCTGTCGTGGAAAATGTCCATGGAGAATGCACAATCCATGGAAGGTGTTGTTATTTTTATCGGAAGTGATTTTCCCTTGGTCTGCTCTGCTGCAGGAGTTCTGTCAGACCATCGACCAGATAAAAACCCCAATGGCTTCACTCTCAACAACTGTCCGTAGAGTCAGCAACAGGGATGAAGCTGCTCAGGAACTGAATACTCTGCAACAAAAGTACGAGAGGGTGCAAGATCAGGCCAAGGAAGTACAGGTGGTGCTGGAAGATCTGTTGTCTCTCTGGCAGAAGTATGTAACCCTGTCAAATTCTCATCTATGTCATTGTTAGAGCTTCTGTCAAGAATTACTAACATAGATATCACACACACGCACTAACACACATCCCTCACCAATACACACCTTTCTCACACACACCTCTGCCTCATGCACAGCTCTTACACACACACACCTCTCATCGACACACACTTTTCTCACACACACACACACCTCTTAAATGCGCACTCACACACCTATCTCTGATACACCCATGCACACCCACCCTGCCCACACACATACCTCTAAACTCACACTTTTCATACACATTATACTTCATCTACGCATTCTCTCTCTCTCTCTCTCACACACACACACAGACACACTCACACTCTCACCCAGATACACACACTTACGTGCGTGCACACACACATATACACTCACACACAACATCCACACACATAGACACACACACACATACATACACATACACAGACACATATACGCACACATACACACATACCCACACACATAGACACATACACACACACGCAGACACACCCATATACACTCTCTCTCACACACACATATTTGCACTCTCTCACACACACACCTCCACACACCTATACACTCTCTCTCACATACACACATACTTACACTCCCTCTCACACACACACCTATTTGCACTCTCACACACACACCTGCACACACATATACACTCTCTCTCACATACACACATATTTGCACTCTGTCACACGCACACACACCTCCACACACATATTTACACTCTCTCTCATACTCACACATATCTGCACTCTCTCATACACGCACACACCCACAAGCACACACTCTCTCATACACACACACACCCACACACATATTTGCACTCTCTCACACATACACACACGCACACAAAAACTAGGTGACTGTTTTGTAGTCATGTGTCCCAGCTGACAGTTTGATTCCTTCCCTTCTGCTACTGAAGGCATTGCTGATAATTGACCAAATGATGCAGTGTTTTGATTGGATAGATTTAGAGAAACTTGTCCCACTGGCAGTGGGGTGTCAATAGCCAGAGGACATTGATTTAAAGCAATTGCCCAAAGAATCTATCAGGGAGGAGTGGGGCATTAAGGAGAATATTTGTTTTGCCTTGCTCTGCCTGGAAGGATGTTGGGAGTAGATTCAATAACTACCTTTCAAAAAGGGAATTGGTGAGATGCTAGCAAGGAAATATTTTCAGGCGTTTGAGAAAAAGGAAGCAAAAAAACAGGACAAATTATTTAAGTCTTTCAAAGGGCTAGCAAAGACACACATAGTGGGTAGAAAGTGCTTCTTTGTTTCTGTCTGATGCTGTGATACAATGAGCTATTTGAAAATTCTTGAATGTTCTGCCAAACTCTCATGAGCCCAGAGAAATCTCAAGGCATTCTTTCTTCATAGGAAGACTAAAATCTCACCTCCATCAATTGATTTTAAGAACATCCATTCACACACTATCTGCTTTTCAATGAGACCCTATGCAACACTAACTGAGTGCACTGGAGCATATGTGGAGGTTACACAATGAACGTCAGGTTCGATAGTATTGAAATAGAAAAAGTTTTCAGGGCTTAGGAAAGAGAGAGGAGGTGTGGAACTAATTGGATAGCGTTGAGAGGCTTGGCACAAACATTGTGGACCAAATGGCTTCCATCTAGCTGTAAAGTTCTGCAATTGTAAAGGGGATTTGTTCACCTTTGTTGGATTTACAGTTGCAATCTCAATGCATTGGATAACATAGTTTACTCTTCCTTGTTTTGTAAAACTTGTGCTTTGTTGGACTCAGGTATGAGAAGGACCTGTCCAGCTTTGCCTCTTGGCTCGAAAGGCATGAAGCAATCACAGACTCCTGGTCACCCTACCTCCCTTCTGACCAAGCCAAGCTGCAAAATGAAGTGCACGCTCTGAAGGTAAGTTGCGAGCATAGCCGCAAGTGTTTACAAAGCAGTTAGTGTGCAGAGACCCAGGGACTGTTCGATCGAGATCTCAATGAAAAGCCACAAGGCAGCTTGAGTATGGTGCTTGAGTTCAGAACATCTGTGCAGTGCCTCCCACTGTATCTACAAGTTTAACTATTGCCCCTCACAAAGCATAAGGTCATTCACTGAAGTTCCGGATTTTGATCACAGTTTATCGCCTTGGCGAGGAACCATTGTTGTTATGTTTCAGAGCGTGCTGTTGCTTTTGTGAGAATCAGTGGTAATGCTATGGACCAGACCAAACCCCCTCAAAATTCAGAAGATAGTCTAGACCCTTTCTTTTTCTTATTTTAAATGTAAATATAAGGTGTTGCATTCCAGATACAATTCAATTGGTTAAACTACCGGATTTAAAGCAAAACACACTTGATTCATCCACTATAGTTAAAATACAACAAAAGAAAGAAGGAATTGGAATAACTTAACTCTATTGGAAAACTTAACAGAATAATAGATGCAGTATCCAATATAATAACATCCCATAAACACACCCTTGGCAAAAGGCAGATTCAGAAACAGATTGTCTCACATGCATTCTCCAATCCAGGAGGAAAGAACATCAAAAGGCAATTCTGAGAGAGAAGAACTCTGGTTTTCAGCTGTAGCAGAGGGAGAGATATGACAGCTTTTCACAACTCCTGCAGCTTCTGCCAAAAGCTAAACTAAAAATCCTGGTTTTGTGAGAGCTTGACCACACCCACTCCGGCTGCCTCTATTGTTCCAACATTAAAAAAACCCCAAGGCCTCACAAGCTGTTTACTGGCTTTCCAGCTAGACAGCTCAGTACCTCTGTCTTAAAATCTCTCTTCAAAAAAAAAACTCAGGATAAAACACCCTGCTAAAGCCACAGCATCATCAGAGTAATAAGATTCTGATGATGCCCATTGGTAGCCACCTTGTGTCCTAAGCAAAGCAGCAGAGAGAACTATCCAAATGACTAGAAAGGGAAATCTAAGAAACATTTTCATTGATATGGCTGCTTCCTCATCTCAGAACATCAGAAGATACAGCTGATAGCGTAGCTGTTGGAGAGGCGATGGCCTAATGGTATTATTGCTAGACTGTTAATCCAGAGACCCAGATAATGTTCTGGGGACCCGGGTTCAAATCCTGCCACGGCAGATGGTGAAGTTTGAATTCAATAAGATATCTGGAATTAAGAATCTAATCATGACCATGAATCCATTGTCAGGAAAAACCCATCTGGTTCACTAATGTCCTTTAGGGAAGGAAACTGACACCCTTACCTGGTCTGGGCCTACATGTGACTCCAGGCCCACAGCAATGTGGTTGACTCTGAACTGCCCTCTGGGCAATTAAGGATGGTCAATAAATGCTGCCCGGCCAGTGATGCCCTCATCCCGTGAAAGGAAAAACAATACCTTTGAAGCACAATGGCTGTTTTAAATGTAAGAAACAGGGCAGTTAGTCAGCACACACCCAACCAAATCAGCAATGGGGTTATGATGCCGAGGGAGTAATATGCCAAGACACTGGGAGACAATCTCTGCTCTTATTCAAATAGGATCATGAGATCTTTTACAACGATCTAAGAGGACAGGTGTGGGGGCGATGTTGGGTTGATGGCCTAATATGAAAGATATACCTTATACAGTGTAGCACTGCACTGTCAGCCAAAATTAGACTCAGGAGTAAGCCTTCAGCCTTCTGACTCTGAACGGGCTGCTCTATTTTTGGATTCACACAATTAAGTTGGAAGTCATTGTCCTCATCATTCTTCCTGGCTGATACATCTCCTGAAATGAGCTGATTAGCAATATGCCAAATTTGAGTTCCTAGTAGCCATAGCAAATAGCTCAAAAGCCATGAAATGGCCTGAATAAGCTCATTCTGGGCTCTCTGTTTCTGTGGGGACAGTTAAGACAGTCTGACAAGTCTTCCCATGGATTACTGTCACACGTGCTGTATTTCTCATCGTCCCTACAGGAGCTACAATCTGAGGTGATGCCCCAGGAGTCAGTCCATAGGAGCATTGTGTCACAAGCCAAGGCCTTGTACCCAGCCACCTCAGAGGAGAATGTGAAGGCAATGAAAACAAACTTACAACAGCTGGACAAGAGGTGGCAGAGTCTGTCCCACACTGTCAAGAAACGGTGAGATTAATTGTGTGTTTTTGCATTTGAATGAAACAAATAGGGTGGCACGGCGGCTCAGTGGGATCGCACTGCTGCCTCACACAGCACCAAAGACCCAGGTTTGATTCCAGCCTCGGGTGACTGTTGCACACTCTTCCCCGCGTCAGCGTGGGATCCCTCCGGATGCTGTGGTTTCCTCCCACAGTCCAAAGATGTGCAGCTTAGGGTGGATTGGCCATGGGATATGCAGGGTTACAGGGACAGGGTACGGGGATGGGTCTGGGTGAGATGCGCTTCAGAGGTTCATTGTGGACTCAATGGGCCGAATGGCCTGCTTCCACACTGTAGGGATTCTATGAAATGTTTTTAGACCAATTTTTTTTAGAGTTGATCTTGCAAGGCTGTGCTTGATTTTTTACGATGATATTTTAAAAAATTATTCACTCGGGATGTGGGTGTCGCTGGCTGGGTCAGCATTTATTGCCCGTCCCTAATTGCCCCTGAGAGGGTGGTGCTGAGCTGCCTTCTTGAATCGCTGCAGTCCATGTGCTGTAGGTAGACCCACAATGCTCTTGGGGAAGGAATTCCAGGATTGTGGATTGACCTACAACAGGTGGACTGCACGGTTCAAGAAGGCAGCTCACTTCCACCTTTTCAAGGGCAACTAGGGATGGGCAATAAATGCTGACCCAGCCAACAACACACACGTCCCATGAGTGAATAAGAACAGTAAATTAATTGGAAATCTGTATAAATAACGGATTCGACCTCCACTAGTCTAGTTCTGCACACCCCACTTTAGGAAGGATGTGACGGCATTACTGAGAGTGGAGAACAGTCTGAGGAAGATAGTTCCAGGAATGAGGAACGTCAGTCAGTTGCATGGCTAGATTGGAGTTGCTGGGGCTGTTCTTCGATGAGAAGAGGAGATTAGAGACGATTTGAGAGTGGGATTCAAAATCATGAGGGCTCTGGACAAAGTAGATGGAGAAAAACCGCTCCTGATAGCAGAAGGCCAAGAGGTAGAAATCACTGATTTAAGGTGACTGAAAGAAAGAAGCAGCGGGGATGTTAGAGAAAAACATTATTGTTCAGCAGCTGTTTAGGGTCTGGAAGCAGATTCTCTTGAGACTTTCAGAAGGGAATTGGATAATTACTGCACTTGCAGACCATGGGGTAGTAAGCTGACACAGCACCAACATAATGGACTGAATGGCCTCCTTCCACACTGTAATCATTCCAAAGCTGATACCAACTTACCCTCAAAGTATTGAGAGTATAATAGGATCGGGGGCTGTGGTAACGGGTTAGTCGTCCAGAGGCCAGGATATGTCGTAGAGTTATAGAACCATGCAGCATGGAACCAGCCTCTCTGCCCAACTCATCCATGCTGACCAGACATCCCAATCTGATCTAGTCCAATTTGCCAGCATTTGGCCCATATTCCTCTAAACCCTTCCTATCCATGTACCCATCCAGATGCCTTTCAAATGTTGTAATTGTACCAGCCTCCACCACCTCCTCTGGCAGCTTATTCCATACACGCACCACCCTCTGCATGAAAAAGTTGCCCCTTGGGTCCCTTTTAAATCTTTCCCCTCTCAGCTTAAACATCTGCCCTCATGTTTTGGACTCCCCTACCCTGGGAAAAAGACCTTGGCTATTCATCCCATCTATGCCCCTCATGATTTTATAAACTTTTATAAGGTCACCCCTCAGCCTCTGACCCCCAGGAAAAATAGCTCCAGTCTATTCAGCCTCTCCCTATAGCTCAAACCCTCCAACCCTGGCAACATCTTTGTAAATCTTTTCTAAACCCTTTCAAGTTTCACAACATCCTCCTTATAGAATGGTGACTGGAACTAAATGCAGTATTCTAAAAGTAGCCTAACCAATGTCCTGTACAGCTGCAACATGATGTCCCAATTCCTGTGCTTAATGCACTGACCAATGAATGCAAACATACCAAACGCCTTCTTCACCACCCTGTTTCCCCGCGACTCCACTTTCAAGGAACTTTGTATCTGCATCCCAAGGTCTCTCTGTTTGACAATACTCCCCAGGGCCCTACCATTAACTGTATAAGTCCTGCCCTGGTTTACCTCACCAAAATGCAGTACCTCACATTTATCAAAATTAAACTCCATCTGCCACTCCTTGGCCCATTGGCCCATCTGATCAAGGTCCCATTGCACTGAGGTAACCTTCTTCACTGTCCACTACACCTCCAATTTTGGTGTCACCTGCAAACTTACTAACCATACCTCCTATGTTCACATCCAGATCATTTATTCAGAGAGGGAGAATTCAAATCTCTCCACGGCAATTTGAGGGAAAATAATCTGAGCATTAGTTTGATTGGCCACCAAGCGTAGCATTTTTGTAAAAACCCAACCAATTCCTTTAATAAAGGAAATTGGCAATTGCTCCTTATTCCAGCCTTCCATTTTAAGTGACTGGGTCAACTGAGGAGCAGGAATACTCCAGCTCTGAGTACTAATTCTGTTACACTACCTTTGTTCCACAGGATTCGCTTGTTCGAAGAGGCAATTGAGAAACACCAGCAGTTTGATGAGTGTTTGCTGAGATTTTCCTATTGGGTTGAACGATTTCTGAGTGGCCTGCAGTCAACCTCCGAGATCATTTCCACAGATCTGCAGCCTGCATTGAATCACATAAAGGTAAAACCCTGTGGGCCCATTTTAAAGAGTTGAAGTGTTGTGAATTGGCTCTTAGCAACAAGTGACTGCTCACCTGGTCATCCGGTCAACACCAGCACCATTCACTTTACCTGCAATGAAAAGAGCAATTTTCCCATCTAGGGATGAGGTACTTCAAAGAGGCGAAAAAGATTGGAGGAATCAAAGAATTCCAACAGCCTGGAAGTGGGCCATTCGAGTCCATACCAACCCTCCAAAGTGCATCCCACCTGGACCTACTCCCTTACCCTATCCCTGTAACTCTGCATTTCTGATGGCTAACACACTGAGCCTGCACACTATGGACAATTCAGCATGGCTGATCCACCCTAACCTGCACGTCTTTGGACTGTGGGATGAAACCAGAGGAAACCCATGCAGACACAGGGAGAATGTGCAAACTCCACACAGACAGTTGCTCGAGGGTGGGATCAAACCCGGGTCCCTGGCGCTGCGAGGCAGCAGTGCTAACCACGGAGCCACCTCGCCACCCCCACAGGTGGAGTATTTCCCCTTGGTCACAAGAAAGGTTGAGAGGTGGTTTGAAAGAGGATTCAAAATCATGGGAGACCCAGACAGAAGAAATAGAGAGTAACCATTCTCGTTGACAGAATGATTGAGAAACAGAGGGCGGTAATTGAAGCAGGGTGGCAAAGGGATCAAAGGCAGCATGAGGGGGGAAAATAATCTTTTTTAATGCAATGATCAATTTGGATCTTGAAGGTCTAAGAGTGAGGTGATGAGAGATCAGCTGAGGCATTGGAAAGGGAATAGGTTCAGTATTAGAAGAGAAACCATATTAAGGGCTACAGGGAAATGATAGGGGGTGCTAGTGAAGCCAGATTGCAGACACTGACACCACAGTCTGAATATCTTTGTGTAGATGTTCTATAATTCCATAACTTTGAATGTCTGGAGTAATCGGTTACACAACAATGATTAGGAAACAGCGCTGAAATATTGCTGGAAATGTGAAATTAAAAGACAGATTTCTAGAAAGACTCAGGCAGGTGGTAATATGGAGTGAGAAGCAGAATTAATATTTCAGGTTGCTGGTCATTCATTAGAACCTAGATATTGTCTGACCAGCTGAGTGTTTATAGTATTTTGTGTTTTAATTTTTTTAAGGTGCTTGTTTGATGGAGGGGTGGTCCCTATCATTAAGTGAAAGGAGAGACTGGGAAATGAGGTTTTCAATATGACTTTACACTAACTGATACAACATTGGTTTTTGTTAGAGACGTCTGCATCACTAATGTCCTTTAGGAAGGAATCTGACATCCTTACCTGGTCTAGCCTACGTGTGACTTCAGACCCCACAGCAACGTGATTAACTCTTAACTGACCTCTGGGCAATTAGGGATCAACAATAAATGCTGACCTAGCTAGCGATGCCCTCATCCCTGAATGAATTTTAAAAAAAGGACAGATTTCCCAGACAGTTTTCAATGAACAGACTGCCACTTTAAAAATACAGGAGTTGGCAGATAGAGTTAGAGAGTCATAAAACACGGAAACAGACCCTCGGACCAACTCATCCGCATCAAGCGCACAACTCATTTTGACCTAGTCCGGCATTTGGCTCTCTAAACCCTTCCTGTTCATGTACCCATCCAAATGTCCTTTTAAATGTGATAATTGTACCAGCCTCTACCACCGCCTCTGGCAGGTCTTTCCATACTCACACCACCCTCTGCATGAAAATGTTACCTCTCAAGTCCTTTTTAAATCTTTCCCCTCTCACCTTAAACCTATGCCCTCAGCTTTTGGACTCCCCTCCCCTGGGAAAAAGATTCACCCTATCCATGCCCCTCATGATTTTATAAACCTCTATAAGGTCACCCCTCAGTCTCCAACTCTCTAGGGAATAAAGCCCTAGCCTATTCAGGCCTTTCCCTATAACTCAAACCTTCCAGTCCCAGCGACATTCTTGTAAATCATTTCTGAACTCTTCCAAGTTTAACGTCTTTTCTGCAGCAGGGCAACCAGAATTGTGGGCAGTATTCCCAAACTGGCCTCGCCAACATCTTGGTACAACTGCGACATGACATCCCAACTCCTGTACCCGGTGTTCTGACCAATGAAGGCAAGCGTGCCAAACGTCTTCACCACCCTGTCTACCTGCGATTCCACTTTCAAGGAACTATGTACCTGTACCCTTAGGTCTCTCTGTTTGACACTCTCCCCAGGTCCCTACTAATAACTGTATTAGCCCTGCCCTGATTTGCCTTACCAAACGCAACACCTCACATTTATATAAATTAAACTCCATCCGCCACTCCTTGGCCATTGGACAGTCTGGTCGAGATCCCATTGTACTGTGAGATAATCCTCCTCTCTGTCCACTACATCACCTATTTTGCTGTCATCTGCAAACTTACTGCTATGTTCCCTTTTCCTCCTCAGCCTATGCTTTCATTGCCTGAAACTAAAGTTGACCAAAGTTTGAAAAGTCCATGAGTTACAAGAAGTCAGACAACATTGTTAAAAAGAGAGAGAGATTGCTGAAGCCTTTCATTTTATATTGATCAGGGAACAAACGTGTTTTTTCTCATGTATTGATGTTTGCAGGAAGTGACATGCTGCCATCCACCGGGACTCAGTGTCTGCAAATAAAAGGAACCTGTCCAAGCCTTGTGCCTTGTTCAAATTATCAGGGGGCTTGGGCAACCAATAATTTCTCATTCATTTCTCCGCAGCAATGTCTCAGCCAATCAGTTTTGAGTCTCAGCTAAGCAGCAACCTTTTCTCGTGCAGTAGAAATGGTTGCAAATGCTTCAAAAATGGGGTTTCTTGCATTTGTCCTAACCATACAGAGTGCAAACCTTCAGCAATGTGTCTCTCCTTCCAACAATATTTCAGTTCTGTTCCATTCAGTGATTGAGATGCTGATAAAACTGTTTCTAATTCACATGCCACTTCATTATTCTGGAAGCTGCTGTACCACTTAAGGAAGTGGTCTTTCACAATAGCTCCTCCTGGAGTATGGACTGAACATAATCCAACAGCTCAGCACTTGAAAACCCAACATTTCTGCTCTGATAGTTGCTGCCTCTGACAAATTGATGGATAAGATAAGCGGCTGTTTCTTAAAAGATCTTTCAACTGACTGAAAAACTAAGCAAATGAATGGAATGCGGGACTGAGGCAAAAACAGACGTTTCAGTCCACCCTCCAGCAGTTTGCAGCTCAACGACACCCAGGTTTAACTTTCTCTGTTTGACTTGAACCTGGAACATCCACAGTTTTCAGCACCTTATTAAGGAGGGACATGTTCACATTGAAAACAGTTCAGAAGAGTTTCACCAAGCTGATTCCTGGGATGAGGGGTTTGCCTAATGATGAAAGGTTGATAAAGGTCTTTTCCCCAGGGTAGGGGAGTCCAAATGTAGAGGGCATAGGTTTAAGGTGAGAGGGGAAAGATTTGAAAGGCACCTATGGGGCAACTTTTTCACGCAGAGGGTGGTACACGTATGGAATGAGCTGCTAGAGAAAGTGGTGGAGGCTGGTACAATTACAACATTTAAAAGGCATCTGGATGGGTATACGAATAGGAAGGGTTCAGAGGGATATGGCCAAATACTGGCAAATGGGACTAGATTAATTTAGGATATCTGGTCAGCATGGACAAGTTTGGACCGAAGGGCATGTTTCATGCTGTACATCTCTATGACTCTGTGAGGTTGGAGCTGTACTCATTGGAGTTTCAGAGAGTGAGAGGTGATCTTATTGTAATCTATGTGATCTTGAGGAGGCTAAATACTGAGAGGACGTTCCTTTCATAAGGTGGTCTCCCATTTAAGATGGAAATGAGGAAGAATTTCTTCTTCCAGAGGGTCATTAATATTCAGAATTCTCTCTCCCAGTGAGCAGTGGAGGCTGGGCCATTGCATACATTCAAGGCTGAGTTAGATTTGTGACTGACAGGGGAGTTGAGGGTTATGGAGTGTACACAGGTAAGTGGAATTAAGTCCACAGACAAGTCAGCTGTGTTCTGATTGAATGGTGGGTAGTTTGAGGACCTGAATGGTCCACCCTTGCTCCTAAATTTCCTGTTCTCATGCCACGTTGAGGCAACTGGTTGGTGTCTTGGGGATGAAATGCACTCATTGGCCTAAAGTCAAGTCTGGGCTTCTTTTAAACACCAGACTTTGTTTGAATATCATTAGTTTATTTCCCGCATGCAACAAGTAGCAGGAAGACAGAGTGACAACTGGGTGGGGAAGAACAGAAAGTCTGTAGCCGCTTCTATGGTATTTTTGACAGAACGTCTTGGGTTAAACCCTTTGTAATTCTTGCCCTATTGTCCCAATGTGCAGGACCAAGCCGGAGCTGTGGAACAACAGCGTGCTGAACAACAGAGTCTCAACGACCAGGTGGAACAACTGTGCTCCATGTGTGAGCCTCAGGATCAGCTTCTCCACCGCAGGACTGAGGAGTGCTTCCAGCTTTTCCAGGAAGCCAATCAGGTTGTTGAGCGAAGGAAGGAAGTTCTCGGACAGTTGGCCTCCTTCCTGGAAACTCACAGAGCTGCCGGAAATGTGCTTCACAGGATTAGGAAGACAGTGGAGACAGCAACCAACTGGGACAAGGTTAAGACAGAATTGCTGGGCAAGGAGCTGGGTGACGTGACGCCAGACATTAAGCAGTTGGAATCCCAAGCCACGGCCCTTGACGCACTCATCAGTAAAGCTCAGTGCCATATGCAGGACGTGGGATCCGACTCGAGGACCTCCTGTCGAGTCTTGGCCGAAGGATTAGAGGCAGAACTGGAGTCTGTCCAGAACCTGTTGGGCACCAAACAAAGTGAGGCCGAAGCACTGAACTCTCTGTGGAAATCGTTTAGAGAGCGCAAGGAACAGTTGCTGAAGACTATTGAAGACATTGAAGAGAAGGCAGACAACGAGAGTCTGAAAGAGCCTACTCTGCCAGCTTTACAGCTCAGGTGAATATATTCTAAAGGGGTTGTGGTGCAGTATTGTACACAAAGGTTAGAACAAGGTAATAAAATGTAGACTTGCCCAGTTTTCAGTGAATAGAAAAAAAACAGGGAAGTGGGACCGGGCACATTATTGGAGCTGTGGGCTGAGAGGTCCCTGGATCTTGGCAGACTTCATACTGGAGTTGGTAATGAACTGGCTAGTGAAATAAAGCATAGAACTGCAGATCTGAAACAAACAAAAACAGAAATTTCTGGCAAAATTCAGCAAGTCTGTGGAGAGAAAATGGAGTTAACAGTTCGTGTCCAGTGACCCTTCTTCAGAACTGAGAGCAGCTAGGAAAAGCTGGCATCGGTATTTATTTAGCAATTTTTCTCTCTACAGATGCTGCCAGGCCGACTGAGTTTCTCCAGCAATTTTTGTTTCTGTTGGCTAGTGAGATAGCTGATGTATTGGTTTAAATTTTCCAGAATGCCCTAGATTCAGGAAAGTTTCCATTAGAATAGAAAATAATGAATGTAACTCCTTTATTCAAAAAGGGAAGAGACAGAAAGCAGGAAATATAAACCAGTCAGCTTAACTTTTGTAACAGGATAAATGTTGGACACTATAATTAAACATGTTATAAGAGGATGCTTAGAAAGGTTCATGGTAATCAGGCAGAGTCCACATGGTTTTGTGAAAGGGACATCATGTTTCATCAACTTATTAGAGTCATTAAGGAAATAACAAGTTGTGATAAAGGGAACCAGTGGAAGTGCTGTATTTAGATTTCTAGAAAGCATTTGATAAGATTAAAAGTTATTGCAGAACATCAAAGGTCAAGGTAGCAGGGTAACATATTGGCATGGATAGAAGATTAGCTTGCTAGCCAGAAACAGTCAGGCATAATGGCCAGTTCCAGTTGGCGAGGTGTCATGAGTGGTATAACATAGAGATCAGTATTGGGGTCTCAACTTTTTACAATTTGTGTTAATGGCTTGGATGAAGGGACCAAAGATATGGTTTGCTGATGACACAGTGATAGGTAGGAAAGTAATTTGTGAAGAGGACATGAGGATACAAAGATGTGTAGATAATTAAGTAAGTGGACAAAGATCCAGCAAATGGAGTGGGAAAATGTAAAATTGTCCATTTTGACGACTGTCTATATGGTGAGAGATTGGAGAACTCTCAGATGTAGGGGATCCAGGTGTGCTGGTAATTGTGGTGACAAGAAATAATTATGAAAGCGGATCAAATATCATTGCTTACTGCAAAGGCGACTGAATACAGAAGTAGAGAGGTTATGGTTCTTTTACACAGAGTAGTGGTGAGACCACATTGGAGTACTACGTACAGTATTGGTCTCCTTATTTAAGGAAGAATGTAAATATGTTAGAAGTGTTTCAGAAAAGGTTTGCTATACCAATTCTTGAAATGGATGGGCTGTCTTATGAGGAGAATTTTGACAGTGTTAGCCTTGTACCTGCTGGCATTAGAAGAGGAGGAGGCGACTGCATTGAAATGTATAAGAACGTGAGGGGTCTTGACAGTGTGGATGTAGAGAGGGTGTTTCCTCTTAGGGGAGAACCTAAAACTAGGGGTCACTGTTCGACAATAAGGAGACACCCATTCAAGAGTGAGATGGGGAGAATATCTTTTCTCACAGGAGTCTTTGTAACTCTCTTCCTGAAAAGTTAGTCAAAGCAGAGTCTTTGATTATTTTGAAAGCAAGCTCTCGGTGAGCAATGAGGTGAGAGGTTATTGGGGTAGGTGGCAGTGTGGAGTTGAGGTTACAATCGGATCAGCCATGACCTTATCGAAGGGTGAAGTAAGCTCGGGGGGCCAAATGGCCTACTTCTGCCCTTATTTTGTATGTTCATATGTATGCCCAATGAATACCTTGGGATCTTCAACCCCATAAAATATTGGAGAGGAAACTGTTGAGGGTTGGTGTTATTGTTGATCCATTTTAAACTCATTGTGCCTCACCCACTGTTTACATCCTATTTTTAAAGTCCTGTGAGTAGCAGAGTTTCATTCACTAACTAAAAAGTGGGTATTGTAGTCGTATGATATCATTTGATACCAACAATGAGCTCTTTGACTCTGCCTGAAGTAATAGTGGGATTCAGGTATTGAATGTAACTGGAGTAATCTTCCCAACACAAGCAATTCAATTCCATTCAAAAATCTAGAAACCTGATTTTTAAAAAAATGTCTGTGTTGAGTCATTAAAGAAACAGCTCGCTCTAGCTTCCGAGACGGAGTGATTTCAGAACAAGCTCAAAAGCTGAAACACCGGACAGATTTTATCCATAGCTGCTGCTTAGCACTGATTAACTGGGTTTTATTCTTAAAGTGCTCATGCACATACAATTTGTGTCTAATTCCCTTAACATGTCTTATTGCAAACTAATTTTTTCTGGGTTGAAAGACAAAAGGCACTTGTACATTTTCATAAGAATGTTATAAACCTCAGGACATCTCAAATGGCTTCAAAACCTGTGAGATTGAGAGTTTGAACCCCATGCGAGATTTGAGCACAGGATCTGGACCAACACACCAGTACAGTGCCAAGGTTGAAATGTTCCGAAGAAGAGTCAAATTTTAACTCTGTTTCTCTCTGCTCAGGGGCTGCCAGAGTTTCTCAATCACATTCGTTTTTTTTTCATTTCAGAAATCTGTAGTATTTTGTTTTTCATTTCATTGATAGATTTTTGCGGGATAAGGAGAATCAAGGTAGATGGAGGAAAGGTGGCGAACTGGAACTGATGTCTTCAAATACCCAAATGGATCTTGAGATCTTGATGACTGGATCTCAACGTCCAATTCAAAGAAGAGTTGAGGAAGCTACTTGACTTGGCTGATGTGCTGAAGCCTAATCCTTTTCCTTTCTTTCCCTCCTCTAGATTGAGGTTGTTCAATCAGCTGGAGGAAGATCTCAACGCACAACAGCACGAGCTGCAGTGGCTAATGGACAAAGCGAAACAGCTGACTCAGAAAGATAAGACTTTAGCCGCAGAAGCTGAGAAGGAAATTAACCTACTGGAGGTGACTTGGAATGACACCAAGAAGCTAATCAATGACATGTGAGTACAGTAAATGAATTAGGAAAGAGACTGCATATCTCACTGAGTCATGACCAATTCAGGTTATTATTATCTTCAGCACAACTCAGTTCGCTGCATAAATCAAGATCTGCAAAATTGCAATTGTTTAAATTTCATTTCAAGTTGAATTAGATTCTGTATAAACAAATCAGTTGCGTATGGCTTAATTTCATGTGTGCCTTTGTTTATTTAGATTTCTTTTGTGTACGATACAGATCTATGTTTTCTTTATTCATTTCCTAGATGTAGGTTCATTGATAAGTTTTTGTTACTTCAAATTCAGATTCTCAGGCTGGTGTGGATCTCCAGTAGTTCTGGATTACTGATGCAGCAAGGGAACCAACGTTCTGTTGTTGCCCAGGATTGTTTGATGAATGTAGTTTTTGTTTTAAGTGCACAAGCTGGTGACAAGAATTGGAAGACTTCAGTAGCTGCTTGCAGTATGCCATCTAGTGGCGACAGTTTGCAAGTCCACTTGTGACAGTTGACATAGCAAAATTGAATGGGAATCATAGAGTCCCTATATAATGGAAGCATGCCATTCAGCCTGTTGGGTCCACACCAACCCTCTGAAGAGTGTCCTACCCAGGTGCACACCCCCCTCCACCCTATCCCTGCATTTCCCATGGTTAACCCCCCTGGCCTGTGCATCCCTGGACACTAGAGGCAATTTAGCATAGCCAATCCACCCTAACCTGCACATCTTTTAGTCTATGGGAGGAAACCGGAGCATGTGGATGAAACCCACGCAGTCATGGGGAGAATGTGCAAACTCTACACAGACAGTTGCCTGAGGCTGGAATTGAACCCAGGTCCCTGGCCCTGTGAGGCAGCAGTGTTAACCATTGAGCCACCGTGCCACCCCAAATATCAGCTTCATGATGTCATTACTGAGACTTCTAAATGGTTTTAAATTCCACCAGCTGCCATGGTGAGACTTGAACCCATATTTCCACATTAGCCCTATTAATCCAGTGACATTACTATGACACCACTAGCTCCGCCTTGGAAAGGTTCACAACAATGATAAGTAATGCTTACAGGCTGCAAGAACGTGCCCCAAACTATGGAACAGAATTTTCTAAAGGGGATAATCTGCTGAGGGAGATTGCCAGATTGATTGTTTGGTTTCTGTGGTTACCCCTAATGTTACTGCAGTGGAACATGTGAAAATTTATACCTCGAGATTATTGCAAAAGTTTAGTCAGTGAGTTTTGATGGAATATCTGTATGAAATAGGTTCACCTTCACATCCAGCTACAGGTCACACTGATTCACTCTTCCTTCATTGCAGTCAAAATCAGGCCTCCTTCCTGATGGGCCTCATGAGGGACTGCCACAGCTCCAAGGCCTCTCTCCTCAAAGTGATTGAAAATTTTGAAGCGGTGGCCGTGATCAAATCGAGTTTATTGGATCAAGAAGACTTAAGGAGGACACTGTCCAGGGTATGTGCTGCCAACACCCGTTAACCATCAGCTTCTGTTTGTAGGAGCCCTGCATTTTAACAGAATCCTAATGTCATCACCCAGTTACAAATTCAAGTAATAATTTGTAGATATTTCCCTATCCATCATTTCCCATCCATTAACTAATTGTTCCAGACCATGGCAGTCTCCATGATACTATGTGATGGTGGGGGAGATACAGTGTGATGTGTCCTTCAGGAGTGTCTCTGCCTCTCTCTTTCCTTCTTCCTCTTGTGCGCCATAATGAGGCTATTGGGCTTCCTTGGTTAACGCACACTTTGCACATCGTCCATCACCAGGATTTGATCTCTGTTCTAATTGAGGATCGAGAACTGGGGGGGTCACTGTCTAAGTGTATGGGTAAGGCCGTTTAGGACTGAGATGAGGAGAAATGTCTTCACTAAGAGAGTGGTGAGCCTGTGGAATTCTCTTCCACAGAAAGCAATCGAGGGTAAAACTTGAATGTTTACAAGAAGGAGATAGAGAGAGTTCTTTTGGGGCTAAAAAGTAGAGAAAGCAGGGACAGGGTACTGAATGGGATGAGTAGCCACAATCATATTGAATGGCTGAGCAAACTTGAAGGGTCTACTCCTGTTTCCTATGTTTCTGCATCTAGAGTGCACTTTGTTTTCTGGGATACTATGTAAACCTTGTACACTGTTGGAATCATAGAATCCCTACTGTGTGGAAATAGGCCATTTGGCACTCCAAAGATATCCCAGCCTCCTACTCTGTCTCTGTAACCCTGCATTTACCACAGCTAACCCACTTAGCCTGCACATCCCCACACACTATGGGGCAATTTCCCACGGCCAGCCCACCTACCCTGCACATCTTTGGACTGTGGGAGGAAACTGGAGCACCCGGAGGAAATCCACACAGACAGAGGGAGAATGTGCAAACTCCACACAGACAGTTGCCTGAGGGTGGAATTGAACCCAGGTCCCTGGCACTGTGAGACAGTAGTGCTAATCACTGAGCCACCGTGTGAAGGCTTGTGCTGACCACCCTCTTGCTCCTGGTGCAGCCTATGCTTGAGGTGGCTGAATCCTGATGTAACATAAAGGGGCAGAGGAATGATCACTGCCACTACCTTACCCCAGCAGCACAGCACAGAGAAGGAGCAGAGGCTACAGATTGGAAAATGTCTGCAGGATCACTTCTGCCAGCTCAGAACTAGGCTCTTCCACACTCCCCAAGGGTGACAGCAGACCACCTGGTAGGTAAGCCAATGTTGGCAGCATCTCAGTGTACATTCCCTTCCGTGCTCCCTTCTATGTTGCCATATTCAGCTCCTCATGCAGCGATCTCGTTCAATGGAGAGGGCTTACTTTGGGCCTTGTTGACTCGCCATGTGCTGACCCTACCTGTAAATGAGCCTGCGAAGTTAATGCAGGACTGGTACCTGGGCTGGTCACACAGGAGAGCCTCTTTGTCATTGAGATGCCATTGCTTGTACGTCTCCTCCTGAGGTCTCTGTCGTTGGCCAGGTGGCAGTTCTTGGGTGTTTCAGAGATGGTCAAAATTCAGGACAGCAAGCTTAGTGTGAGGGGAAGACCATTGGCAGCTTGTCCCACCAACCCAGATCTCAGGGTTGGGGAGGGTTGGGAGTTGAGGAAGGGAGTAGAGGAAGGAACATGCCATCACCCCCAAAAGCCTCAGCAGTGCCAGCTGATGCGGGCTGCATTGCAACCAGTCTCATGATGCTGTGATCCATTGCCACCTCAGGATTCAGGTGATGCATTGTGCCCGCCAGCTCTGCTCCCCTCCCTTCATTTCCATCCACCGGGAGAGAATTGCAGGATGTTAGTCTTGGTGTATTGCTGTGTTTGATGAGGCCACATAACTGAACAGCAGAGGTATTTGGGATGGTGAGTGCCGCCAATGAGATGTGCAGCACTGACTAAGCGTTTGAGAGTGGGGTGAAGTTGTTGGGCATTAGGTGTGAGCCTTGGGGTGTGTTGCCAACTGAATGCTGGGGGTGTGGTGGATTGAGCAAATTGGGAGGTCATGTGATGATGCCCTCCCGACCACCTTCAGCACCCATGTGAGGTCAGCTGACCTCGTGGCCCTGCTCCCAGGTCCTCAGGAGTCAGACACTGAGGATTGATCTCCCTGGCAACCTGTACCCATCAGCTGGAAGCCTTGGAAACATTGTCCTGCCCAGGTCCACCACTAATACCTGCAATACCAAAACTATCACCTCTCAGGCCTCCAGTTCCTTTGGTTACAAATCACAGCAATATGACTCTGTGCAGATTCCCTTTAAGATGACCAGAGACTGGGCACTATTCGCTTGCCCTTGTCTGTAACTGGTGAGGGGGATAGTAATCTGATCCACCAGATTACAGTCTACACAGTAAAACGGGGCTTTTCACAGATCATTACAATGAGACCATTCGGTCCACAGTGTCCGTACCAGCTCCCTGAGAATTTGATTTAGAGCCTTTTCCCTGTCTGCCTGTTTGTTATTTCTATTTAAAATATTATCCAATGTCCTCTTGACTTGCCTCCACTGAACTTGCCTCCAAACATTTCCAGGTAGTGCACTCCATACCCTGACCACTCACTGTGTCAAAATGTTTCTCACCTTACATCTGATTCCTTTGCTAAATTGCACCCAATCCTTTGTGAGTGGCGAATAGTTTCTCCCTATCTGCTCTGTCCGGTCCCTTCATGATTCCAAAAAGCTTATACAATCTCCCCTCAGCCTTTCCCTCTCCAGGGTGAGCGGTCCCAACTTCTCGAATCTATCCTTACAACTGAGGTGTCTCATTGCTGGAATCATTCTCGTAGACCTCTTCTGAGTTCACATCATTCCTAAAGTGTGGTGCCCAGAATTCTACATAGTCCTCCAGTTGAGTCTAACCAGTGTGTCATATAGGTTCACCATCACCTCCTTGTTTTTGTATTCTATGCCACTATTTATGAAGCCGAGACTTCTATACACTTTATGAAGAGCTTTCTCCATCTGTTCTGCCACCTTTAGTGATTTCTATACAAGTACAGCCTGCTCACGCATTAGAATAGTACCTTATATTTTATACTGTCTTTCCATGTTCTTTGTACCACAGTGTATCACCTCACACTTCTCTGTGTTAAACTTCACCTGCTACCTATCTGCCCTCTTCACCAATGTGCCATTGTCCTTTTTGAAAATCTATGCTGTGCTCCTCACAGTTTACAAGTCTCCCAAGTTCTGTGTCATCTGCGAAAACATTGAAATTATCCCCTGCACACTCAGAGCGAGATAATTTATATAAATCAGGAAATGCACGGATCCCAGTACTGGCCCCTGGGGAGCTCCACTACAACAAATTGTCCCCCTTCCCATTCTACGCTGCTACCATAGACTGTTTATGGGGATAATGCATTGATTAAACGTGAATAAAATGAGCTATGAGTGAAGCCTTGACTCAGCTTGTCATGATGGATGATGGTGTGGATTTTTCAAAAAGTTGGAACCTAAGTGCAAGTGACACATGTTTGCACTGAAGGGCTTACAAAGTTCTGCATTTTGTGAATCATTTTGTTAATATTTGATGATGCATTTACCCGACTAACAAAATTTCAGCTGCTCCACTCCATGCTCACTCTAGATTATTGGAAATAACCCTGCAATGTGTTGCCAGCATTGGTCATGGCTTGAACCTTGAACTTTTGCCATGTTCCATGTTTGTTCTGTAGCTGTGGACACCCTTCCGATCTTGCAGTGGAGAATCCCCGTGTGGAAGGTATTGTTCGGGATCAAATGCCCGTCTCTCTGATTCTCTCTCTCACTCTCTGTTGTCCAGCATGAAGTGGTGAAGTCTGAGTTAAACAGAACTCAGGAACAACTGGATGAATTCACCTCGAAAGCCAAGCAACTGTTGGGTGAATTGAAGAAGATTCATGGCTGTGACCCCGTGCCTTTCAAACAAGATCTGGACAGTGTCTTGGACCAGTGGCTAGATGTAAGCGCAATCCATGATTATGTTGTTTTGGGGCCCTTCAGTGTTCCATTTGAATGGAAAGGAATACGGAACCTTTGTGGCCAGAAGGTTTCTTACTGCTCCCTCAGTCACTGGGCTGCTGAAGAACGTAGATGGAATGGGATGTCCTGAACCTGAGACCTCTTCCTATTTGTGAGCTGCCAGTGTTGTGGACCAGACTGAACCCCCTCACACCATATCAAGGAGTTAGCCTAGACCCAAAAGTTTATCTTATGCTTAGAGACAAGTGTAAGGTGCTGTGTTCCAGAAGTGATTAGATAGTTCAAACTACTAGGCTTTAGGCAAAACACACTGTATTCTGACCCCACAGTTAAAATGCAAACAAAAAAAAAAGAAATGGCATATCTTTAACTGTATCCAAATACTTAACAAAATAATATATTATTTAACTACTGCTCATCAACTGTATAACAACATCCTATAAACACGCTCTTGGCAAAGGCAAATTCAGCCAAGTTGATTTCCCTCACTTGCTACCTTCTCCAGTCCAGGAGAGGGAATACTGACAGAATCAATGTAGCAGCAGAGAGAGAACTCAAGCTTTTTGCAGTAGCAGAGAGTGAGCTGTATCCAACAGCTTCAACCCCAGAACCCCAACTTCAACAGCTGAAAGCAAAACCTAAATTCCTGGGTCTGTGTGAGCCTGACTCCACCCACTCATGCCTCTTTTGTCTATGTTAAAAACCACAAAGCTATTTACTCTGCTTTACATGGAGCAGACACCTCAGCGCCAGGTTTACAACACCTCTCTTCAAGAGAAACAGGCAGAACATATCCCTCTTAAAGGCACATATCATCCCACCAGTTAATATTGCACAGGGACAAAGGAGATAGTGCTGAAATGACACAGTGAGATTCTTTTGGTGCTTGTCCGAAGTTCTCTGAACTGCTGGAAAACTGCACATTGTCAAACCCATATTGAGAGACTCACAGAGATAGTAAGAACTGCCGATGCTGGAGTCAGAGATGACAGAAGGGTCCCGACCCGAAACATCAACTTTCCTGCTTCTCTGATGCTGCATGACCTGCTGTGTTCCTCCAGCTCCACACTGTGTTATCTTTGAGAGACTCGCAGTTGCTTCTCAGCTGATTAGATTGTGCGTATGAGAAGACGATTGAGCTGGAAGACTCCTCTGTGTTTGGAGTGGCTGTTTTCATTAATGACTGTGCGTGCACATTCTCCACCAACAGGTTTCTGAGCGACTCGACGACAACATTGAGAGGCTAAGTAAGAGTCTCGCTCTGTGGGAGGATGTGCTCAACACCAGCGATGAGATTGACACCTGGTCCAAAAGTTCTGTCTCTGAACTCAATGAAATGGTGGGCAACTTGAGTGACAGCCAGAGAATGGAAGGGAGACTGCTGGAGTTGCAGGTTAGTGACAAGGGGAACAGGAACCCAAGCTGATGAAGACCCCATAACAAATGCCCCCTTAAACTGAGAAGTGAAGGTGATACCTTCTAGTAACTGTGTTTAAGATTTGAAATATGACTGGGAGTTGGTCTGCCAAATGGCTCCTTCTATTGTGTGGCCAGTGCACAAAACAAAAATGGCAGCCCTTACAATTAGTACTTAACTCTCCTTTGCTTCACCTGTCAGTTAATATTGGCTGTTATGTGCTCTATGCATACTCTTTTGGCAACTGAGATCCACATGTTGTCCAAGACTTTAACTTGCAGCTTAAAGGAAACATCCTTCTGAGTCAGGGATGTGCTATGCCTGTCATCGGGACCCCTTTGACAGTGACAAGAGTTTGAGTTTAAGATAGGTCAGGACCTATCAACACCCTTGAAGTGCCTTAAGCATACAGTTGAGTTGAGCTTGTTTTCTGCTCAGAATATCACACAGTAGCATGATGTTCTGCATCATAGCAGCCTGCTTTATAACACCCAAACTCCAGGACTTTGATAGGAACTGTTATGGCTGGCAGGAGCTTTAGCCCTTTTCTTGCCCACAGTGCTGAAACTGTTTTGGAATGACATAGAATTTTACAATGCAAATACAGGCCATTTGGGCCAACAACTCCATGCTAGTCTTTAGGTTCAACATGAGCTCCCTCACATCCTACTTCATGAAATCCCATTAGCATAGACTGTTCTTGCTTTCTTCTTCGTTCACTTCATCTACTCAGAATCCCTACAGTGTGGAAGCAGGCCATTTGGCCCATCGAGTCTGTACCAATCCTCCAAACAGCATCCTACCCAGACTCACTCCCTTACCCTATCCCTGTAACCCTGCATTTCCCATGGCTAACACACCTAGCCTGCATATCCCTATGGACACTGTGAGCAATTTAGCACGGCCAATCCACCTAACCCACACAGGTTGGACCATGGGAGGAAACTGGAGCACTCAGAGGAAGCCCATGCAGATGCAGGGAGAATGTGCAAACTCGGCACAGACAACTAAGGCTGGAATCGAACGCAGGTCCCTGGCGCTGTGAGGCAGCAGTGCTAACCACTGAGCCACTGTGCCCCGTTATTCCGTGTGGTAGCAAGTTCCATATTCTCAGCTGTCACTTAGTAGAGTCTCCTGTTTTCCTCTTTGGATTTATTAATGACTGTTTTATGTTTATGGCTGCTGGTTTTCGACAAGAGGAAATATGTTCTCAGACATTTGGTTGTCCCTCTTAAGTTCTGTCATTACATCTCCAAGTTTTCTTCTTCATGCTAATATTGTTTGTCCCATATGACTCGTGGATAGATTGGAATCATCCTTCGCTGATCTGTAAGACCCGTGTTTAAATTCCCTAATAAATCAACGCTATGTGCCCCTGAGTTGATTGTCAGGATTGATTCAGACTGAAATGTGAACAGTTTCCTTCTGTCTGTGTCTTATGACCTGCTTTGAACTGAGTTTGCATCTCCCTGAACTCAGCCCTTTTTAAAATCCATTAATTCAACTGCATTTTCCTTCTTCTGTTTAGTATCCTTTAAAGAACATTTCAACTCAAACTACGTTGAATTTTCCATTGACCTGATGTGACCATTCATCCACTGATGCTCTCATTTTGTTATTGACTTGCAGTCTAACATCAAAGCTAAAGGGGAGAAACTCAAGACCCTGCATTCTAAAGTCTGCGAGCTGACAGAGATATCCAAATGTCAGGAACCACCACCTGTACTGCAGGTAAACAAAAGCTTTCCACACGTTTCCGTCCTGTTTTTGCCTGTGTTCTATGAACCAACTGCACTGCTGAGTCTTAAGTTTCCTTGCCTTGGCTCATTGAATTGAGCAATCAAGGAGGAATTTGAAAGCTGTTTGGTGTGTTTACTGGGTCCTGCTTCATGTGGAGCCGGTAATTCTATAACATTCACAGTTCTAGTCAGGTTGTATTATTCTCAGCAGTCAGCGTGTCTGACAGTAGGAGATTTGGTTCAAGCAGCTGTAATGGAAACTCTAGCAGCAGGTGGCGCTGGTGAGAGAGGACCCCAGGCAGGGTAGCTTGAGCTATTGTACGAGGGTCTCCAGCAGCAGTGAGAGAACACACCAATTTTTTCTTCAACCAGATGGAAACCATGGGCATAATTCTGTCCAAATACTGTGTTGTCCTTGTTTAACTTTAATTTCCCTTCATGTTTGCAATGGCCTGTGGAATAGAGCTCCCCACACACACAAAAAAATCTTTTTTTCCCCTTTTATTGTTCACGGGATGATGCTGGCTAGGCAGCATTTATTGACTATCCCTAATGGCCCAGAGGGCAGTTGAGAGTCAACCACATTGCTGTGGGTCTGGAGTCACATGTAGGCCATACCAGGTAAGGATGGCAGTTTCCTTCCCTAAAGGATGTTAGTGAACCAGATGGATTTTTCCTGACAATTGACAGTAGATTTATGGTCATCATTAGATTTTTAAATTCCAGATATTTATTGAATTCAATTTCCACCATGGTGGGATTTGAACCCAGTTCCCCAAGAATATTATCTGGATTAACTGTCCAACGATAATACCACTGGGCCATCGCCTCCCCTCAGCTGTTTCTTTTTCTTTCTGCTTCTCTTATTTGGGGTCATCACAATGTGCGTTGATCACCCTTCACCATCTCCTCCTGTCAATAACCCATTTCTTACACAATCCCGTAGCCTGGAAGTCTCTTGTTACTGCATCTTTCAATCTGGTCTGAGGCCTTCTTCTTGTCCTTTACCCTGACAGACCCTCCGCCATCACTCACCCTCACTGCATTCCTTCTCCTTCTTGGTGATAAATTATCTTACCATTTCAACCACTTCCCAGCTACTTTATTTGATACTACCAGAACCTTTTGTGACCCTGTAATGTGTTCATTTCTGGCCTTGTCCCATCTCGTCACTCACACATCCCATTGGTATCTGAGCCTAATCCATTGCTTAATTTCCATTTTCTGCTACGACTGACCTTGTGTTCTTGAGGCCCCTCATCTTCTACAAGATTTCACCCATAATCTTTACACCTGTACCCTAACCCCTTCCCTCGGCTCAAACTGACATTCCATAAATTGTGGTCAATAGAAACGGCAGTGTTATTTTTCGGTTCGATGGAGGAAAATGTAAAGGCATGATTCAAAATAGGAGTTTCACCACCCAGGGGTGAAGTCAGGAAAGAGACTGAAAGATCTACATTCATGTAGCGCCTGGGACATCCCAAAGCACTTTACAGCCAATGAAGTGCAGTCGCTGTTGTAATGTCGGAGCACCTCTTCACACAAAGCAGATGGAAACTGGATCTGTCTTTCTCAGAAAGATGCTGGGTGCAGTAGGAACTGTTAAGACTGGGATCTCTCGTAAGGGAGACCGGAGTATTGGGGGACATGGAAACAAGTGGGGTGAATGAGGGGAGATGGGATGGAAAGGCTCTTCCTTCCTTTTGATGCTATGTTTTCCTGAAGATTCCAGTTAATCATGGTCCTATACCGACAGGCAGTGGAAGCCGAATCACGCAAGAAGCTGGAGCATGCTCAGGAGGTGTCTGAGGCAGCCAGAGAGACGCTGAAAGATTTTAATACCCAGAAGAGCCAGATGGAGAAGTACATCGAGAACCTCAGTGACTGGTTACACACGGTGGAGCGATCGCTATCCGCCTGTGCTGAGGGCCACAATACTGAGGACCTGAGGAGAGTGAAGGTACAGTAGAGATTAGGAGGTGGTTGTGGGGGAAACGTGGTCGCATTCCAGACACTGTCAAGCCGATGATCTTGTTTGCTTGTTCCAGGAACTGGACCTGGAGCTGGTTAACCAGCAGAGCAGCATCGACAGGGCCCGAGAGAATCTGAACAGCTTCTACCGCAAGTACCACTCGACAGAGCTGGAGGGCTTGGGCAGCACACTCACCGAGCTGATCAAACAGTACGAAAATGTCAACCAGCTCTCCTCCAAAACACAAGCCAGGCTCCAGGACGCACTGGAGGAGCAATTTAATGGTGAGCAGAAATCTCCATTCAGTGTATTACACGGAACATGTGGCGCAGAAATAGGCCATTTGGCCCAACTGGTCTCTGCTGGTGTTTACCCTTATTCACTTCACCCTCTCTAGGGGTTCGATTCCTTTATTCCTCATCAATTTCTCAAGATTTCCCTTCAAGTGATAGAATCGTAGAGGATGATTCAGTCCAGAAGGTGGCCATTTCGTCAATCAGTCCTGCAGTGATTGGAATGAGGTCAGCCAGGTGGACATTATAGAATATGAGCTCCCTGATTGGTGCTGTTAACCTGGTCCAATCAGGGAGTCCAGGCTGACAGAGATAAACAGGAGTGTCAGAGGCTCTGTTCATTCTGAGAGCTGACTCTGAGGGAGCCAGACCAGTATCAAGTACTATGCTTGTGTAAATAAAGGGTGAATTGGTGATGGGATACCGGCCTCTGTGGAGTTATTTCAGTGGCAATGAGAGTGGGATACAGAGTTGACAAAACTGGGTTACCCCCGTTGGGAGGTAAAGTGACGGTGATCAAAGATGCCCAGCTCCCACATCTGTACCAGAGATTATTCTTTACTTGGGTCGGTGAACTATTACAGAAAGTTCATAGATAACCTGGCCTCCGTCCTAGCACCCTTACACCTGCTACTGAAAAAGGGTCAGCCTTCGGAATGGTCTCGTAGCCAAGAAGTAGCGTTTAGGGAAGTGAAGAAATGGTATCATAGTCTAAAGTGTTGGCCTACTATGATCCTAAGTGAGAGGTGGTGCTGCCATGCGATGCTTCCCTGTAATGTATTGGGGTAGTGTTGGCTCACAGATGGCCCAATGGAGAGGAATGCCTGATGACATATACTTCATAGACTTTGGCTGGTGCACAGCGCAAATACGCTCAGATGGAGAAGGAAGGTTTGGCGGCCATCTTTGGTGTGAGGAAGTTCCACCAATATCTTTATGGATGTAAATTTGTAATAGTAACAGACCACAAATCCCTGGTAGGGCTACTTAAAGAAGACACAGTGCCGTCCATAGCTTCAGGTCGAGTACAGCGGTGGGCTCTTAACCTAAGTGCATACAATTACAAGTTGGAACACTGTCTAGGAGGTCGAGTGGCAAATGCGGATGCCTTGAGCCGTCTCCTGCTGGCAGATACACCAGTGGGTGTGCCGTCCCTGGAAGAGTCTGTGATGGTTTTAAACTTTCTGGGCACCCTTCTAGTCACCACTGCTAAATCAGACTGTGGATGCAAAAGATCCTGTCCTGGCAAAACTGAAACAGCCGGTGGTGATGGGGGAAACAGAAGGGCCATCACAAACCAGAATTGAAACCTTTCTAGACCCCGATGAGACCAAATCACACTAGAGGATGGTATTTTGTTATGGGGAGTGAGAGTGATTGTCCCGAGCAATGGTCACCACCAGATACTGGCTGACCCCCACCAGGGTCATTCAGGGGTTTCCAAAAATGAAGATGTTGGCAAGAAGTTATGTCTGTGGCCAGGATTATGTCTGTGGCCAGGACTGGAGACAGACAAACCTTCCTTCTCCATCTGAGCGTATTTGCGCTCTGCATCAGCCAAAGTCTATGAAGCATATGCCATCAGGCATTCCTCTCCATTGGGCCATCTGTGAGCCAACACTACCCCAATACGTTACAGGGAAGCATCGCATGGCAGCACCACTTCTCACTCGGGATCATAGTAGGCCAACACTTTAGACTATGATGCTGTTTCTTCACTTCCTTAAACGCTACTTCTTGGATTAAAAGGATTTAAAAAAACCACCAACAGCTCCCCCACATTCATGAGAATGGCCGGGTAAACCCTGGACTCAGTTACACATCGACTGTGCAGGTCCTTTCATGGGCTCAATGTTCATGGTCATTGTGGATGTCCGTTCAAAGTGCACAAAGTTCATTTGTCAAACACGGGGATGGCGACGGAAACCCTGTGAGCATCTTTTGCAACACATGGGTTACTGGAAGCATTGGTCATAGACAACGGGCCATCATTTACCAGCAGGGAATTTGAATGTTTCCTCAAGTCAAATGGCATTTAGCATATAAGGACTGCTCCATACCATCCATTTTCCAATGGTCTGGCAAAAAGATCAGTCCAAACGTTGAAGGCAGGCTTAAAGAAATGGCCTATAGCTTCAATCGATACCAAACTGTCCCAGTTCCTATTTGATTATAGGACCACTCCTCATGCAACTACAAGCACAGCTCCAGCAGAGTTGCTAATGGAGAGAAGGCTCCGCACCAAGTTAAATTTGACCTTCCTTGACCTGTGTGGGGTGTGGGGTGGGAGGGTGGTGGGTGGGGTTGGTGGTGGCGGTGAAACGGCATCAGGAATATCAATGACAGACACAAGACTCCTCTAAGTGAGAGACAGTTTACTTCAGGGGACGCAGCTTGGTGTGGGAACCACAGGAATGGCTCCAGGTGCAAGAGGCGGGATATGGTCTGGTACGCGTTGCCCGTATCCGAAGCTGAGTTGGAGGATCTGGACCCACTGCCAAAAAGCCCCAGGAGAGGCTACAAGAGAAAAAACAGGCCTACACCCCTGAACTTAGACAGGGAGAGACGTAGTGATTGATATGAAGTCAGCCAGGTGGACCTCATGGAATATGAGTTCCCTGATTGGAGCTGTTAACCTGGTCTAATCAGTGAGCCCTGGCTGACAGATAAAAACAGGAGTGTCAGAGGTTCTGTTCACTATGAGAGCTGACTCTGAGGGAGCTGGACCAGTGTCAAGGACACTCCACGCGTAAATAAAGCGAGACTTGGTAACGGGATACTGGCCTGTGTGGAGTTAGATCATAGAATCCCTACACTGTGGAAACAGGCCCGTCGGCCGAACAAGTCCACACCGAGCCTCAAAGCATCCCACCCAGACCCATCCCCCCATAACCCACTTAATCTACACATCCCTGAACACTATGGGCAATTTAGCATGGCCAATTCAGCTAGCCTGCACATCTTTGAACTGTGGGAGGAAACCGGAGCACCTGGAGTAAACCCACACAGACACGAGGAGAAGGTGCAAACTCCACACGGACAGTCACTCAATGGTGGAATTGAACCCGGGTCCTGGCGCTGTGTAGCAGCAGGGCTAACCACTGAGACACCGTGTTGCCCAGTTACTCCAACTCCTGTGTTGGTTCTTTGGTGGAGCTGTCTTCCCAGTTTCACTCCCCTACTTTTGTTCCTATTGCTTTGCATTTTATTCCTTTTATTAAAAAAAACCCAACTCCCTTTAGAAAGTTAGTATTGAATCGGCTGCCACCAGTCTTTCACTTCTTGTTCCTGATTGAACCAGGTCCAAGTCCTAATTGGTCTTTCTGTAATCTTTGCTGAATGCACCAGAAAGAACCTACATTACTCAAAATTGTCCACGTGATATTCAGATTGTCAAATTTTGACAATCCAATTGCAATTTCTTTCTTTTGTCAATGTCACCCATTCAGGTTTGAGAACATGAGCCAATCAGATCGTTGCAGAGCCATACTCATGGTTAATTAATCTTGGTCACTGACAGTTCTATTGAACGTATTTTCCATGACATGCAGCTATTATAAAAGCTTTTCATAAAATTCAATGCATTTCCCATCCAAAACACTTTGTTCAGTGCAGAAAGGATGGGACACTAGGATTAGTTTGGGTTTGCTTTAGCAAGGAGCTAGCATTAACACCATGGCATGAATGGCCTCCTTCTATGCTATAAACCTCTATGGTTTTGAGTCCTTACACAAGGGTGTGCAAAGTTGAATGCTTTTGAAGTGTACTTACTCCTGTGATGTAGGAACTATAGCAGCCAATTTACACACAATAAACTCACATTGAGAGCAATGTGATTATGATCAGATTTGTTAATTTTGGTAATGTTGATTGCAGGATCGGGGCATAAGGAAAAGCTGCTGTGTAATTCTTTAAGTAATTCCCTCTGATCTTTTGCCCCCACTTGAATGGGCAGGCATGACCATGGATTAATGTCTCAGGCAAAAATTCAGCACCTTGGACAATGCAGCATTCCCTCAATACTGCACAGAGTTGGATTTGATGACAATGCCTTTTGACTTGTTACTCTCTCCCGCAGTGTTACTCACCTCAATGTTACTTTTTGTTACTGCCTCTCAGTGTTACTTTTTGTTGCTCTCAGTTTTTCTGTTTGTTACTGTCCCCCTTTGTTACTCAGCCGCAGTGTAACTTTTTGTTACTCGCCCTCAGTATTAGCATTAGCATCCTCTCTCTCAGTGTTACTGTTTGTTCCTCTGCCTCAGCATTACTATTTGTTCCTCTACCTCAGTGTGACTGTTTGTTCCTCGCTCAGTGTTACTGTTTACCCCTCTTCCTCAGTGTTACTCTTTGTTCCACTCCATCAGTGTAACTGTTTGTTCCACTTCCTCAGTGTTACTGTTTGTTCCTCTTCCTCAATGTTACTGTTTGTTCCTCTTCCTCAGTGTTACTGTTTGTTCCTCTCCCTCAGTGTTACTGTTTGTTCCTCTTCCTCAGTGTTACTGTTTGTTCCTCTCCCTCAGTGTTACTGATTGTTCCTCTCCCTCAGTTTTACTATTTGTTCCACTCCCTCAGTGTTACTGTTTGTTCCTCTCCTT